TGTCTGTCTGTCTGTCTGTCTGTCTAATCTATCTGTCTATCTGTCTATCTGTCTATCTATAGATCTATCTAGCTGTGTATCTGTCTATCTGTTCATCTATCTATCTATCTATCTATTTATCTATCTATCTATCTATCTATGTATCTATGTATCTATGTATCTATGTATCTATCTATCTATCTATCTATCTAGCTAGCTAGCTAGCTAGCTAGCTAGCTATCTCTCTCTCTCTATCTATTTGTCTGTCTGTCTATTTGTCTATCTGTCTATCTGCCGGATTGAAAACAAAGCTCTTCTGCGAGACTTCCTCATTTTTCGAACTTAACAACATCAAAAACAGAACAATTCTGCGACACTTCTTTTATTTTTCAACCTAACAACATCCAAAACTGCAGCAATTCTGCGCGACTTCCTCAATGTTTGAACTTAACAACGTCAAAAACAAAGCAATTCTGCGGGACTTCCTTCAAAAATGGAAAGTTGAGTGCAGCGCTGGGAGCCTCGTACCAATGCGTTTTGCGATTTTTCCACTCCACCTGTGTAAAGTACTGCGCCTGCCACGAAAAATTGATGCCAGGTCATACGACATGCTGCACCTGTCACGCAAAATCATCTCAGCAAACCTGAAGATCTGATGCTCCAAAATGCAACCCGTCCTAACATCTCTGATGAACATGTCTTTTGTAATTCGCCTGCCACGCGGAATGCATCTTTGAAGATCCTCTTCAAATGTCCCACGCCTGCCTGCGTTTTTGGAAATGCCACAAAACCCTCACGTTTTGCTCACTTTTGCCAAGGTGCACAATCAATCCCTGCGCCTGCCACGCGAAGCGGCATCTGAACGTCCAAAAGTGCTCCGTACACCTCAGTTTTTTGCACTTTTGACTTGGAAATGTGCTTCGCGCCACGACGGCGTGCACTTTTTCGACATCTGAGCTTCCAAAAGTGGTCCGAGAATGGTGTGTTTTGTACATTTTGACTTGCTAATGTGCTTCGCGCCGCAATGCAATTTTTCATCTCTCATCTGGCCAGCTGGCTCCGCACCCGCCGCTTTTAGCGAGCCTACTTTTCGACCCTCCGGATCCCCAAATCATTGGAAAAACACAGTGTTTCGCGACTTTCCTACCTTTTCTCGCATCTGCATCTGCTTTCTTCTGACTCTTTCTCTTCTACTCTTCTTTCTTCTAATCTTTCTCTTCTCTCTGCCTCTTCCCTTCTCTGCTTTTCATCTGTCCATATTGTCGGAAGTCTGACTTCTAAACTTCCTTCGGTTAGGGCCCGCTTCGAAAACCATTTTTTAGCAATATTTTCATTGCTTTACATAAGGAAATTTTAATTGATTTTGAGATCAAAAATAACGTTTTTATTACTAAGGGTTAAAATCTATTAATAGGGTCCGCTTCGACATCCAATTTTTGGCAATATTTTACTTGCGTTATAAAAGGAAATTTAATTGATTTTGAAATCGAACAAACTAGTTTTTATTATGAAGGGTTTAATTTTATTAGTAGGGTCCGCTTCGAAATCCAATTTTTGGCAATATTTTAATTGCGTTATAAAAGGAAATTTCATTTATTCTGAAATCGGAAAAAATGATTTTATTATTGAGGGTTTAATTTTATTATTAGGGTTCCCTAATAATAAATACCACCCTAATAGTAAAAACTACCTGAGGTGTTTATTATTTGGGGAGAGGGGGGGGTTAGTATTAGGAGGAAGGGATTAGTTGTGTTTCAAACCCAAACATTTTCTTTCAATCCACTTTGCAGAATATGTTCAAAAAATAGTGCTCAAGATTTGGTTGCTCAAGTTGACCTCAGGGCATCGACCTGCACAGTTCCACAAAGAAAATGCAATTCTTTGCAACACAGTTGAACTGCACAGTTCTTTGCTGCTGGTGTTGCTCTGATTGCTGCGGTGCATAACAAGCAATACTCTGGGATCCCATGACTGTGCGAAGTCTACTGTACCATTTTGGCTCGGAGATAGAAGCAAATAGAGGTTGGCAAAGACAACATAACCATACTCGGTTGTTCTGATATATAGTTTCCAGCAGTTTGCTGCTGGTGACTTGCAGCCAGCACAACATGGACAAAACCGCGTCCCAGTTTCAGAACTTCAAGGTGCACCTGTGTGTCTGCAATGTTGATTGGGGAACAGATGTATGGAGACACAGACATGCTGCTCTTTATCTACCTTCATATCTATGGATTTACAGAATATATGATTTATATATATATATGTAAATACTGTATAATATATTATATTATATATATGATATGATATGATATGATGTGATATGATATTATATTATATTACATTTTATTTTATTTATATTTATATTATATTATATTTGTATTTTTTAAATTATATTATATTTAATTTAAATACATGATTTTTTTTATTAAATTGAATTATATTATATTTTTTAAATTATATTATAATATTTGAAATCCTATGATATTGTATGTTTTATCAAATTATTTGTTTTATTAAATGATATATTTTACTATTTTTTTTAGGTTTTATTATATTTTTGGTTATATTGTATTATATGTTCTGTTTTATTATAATTTATTTTTTTTTAAAAAAATTGTATTATATTATATTATCTTATATTTTATCATATTATATTATATTATATTATATGATATGTTTTTTCATATTATATGTTTTGTTATATTATATTATATGTTATATTTTTTAACGTTATATAATTTAATGGTTTATTATATCATATTATTCCCCACCTGCCAGGTGAGGGTTGCTAGATTTTAACAGAGCTCTTCTCCGCCTCCTCACCCGCCGCCTCCTCCTCGCAGTCCAGATCCCAGTGGGCACAGCCGGACCTCCACCGCGAGCTCCAGATCCCAGTGTGCACTGCCGGACCTCAACCGCGAGTTGCAGATCGCAGTGGGCACTGCCGGGCCTCAACCGCGACTTCCAGGTCGCAGTGGGCACTGCCGGGCCTCAACCGCGAGCTCCAGATCCCAGTGTGCACTGCCGGACCTCAACGGCCAGATAGAATGCCAGAAGATATGCCAGATGGAATGTCAGATAGATTGCCAGAAGATATGTCAGATAGAATGCCAGAAGATATGCCAGATAGAATGCCAGAAGATATGTCAGATAGAATGCCAGAAGATATGCCAGATAGCCAGAAGATATGCCAGAACATATGCCAGAAGATATGCCAGATAGAATGTCAGATAGAATGCCAGAAGATATGTCAGATAGAATGCCAGAAGATGTGCCAGTAAGAAAATGTATAAATGTCATGGTGGGGATCACACGAAGTAAAGTAATTTTATTGTAGTCTATTATCATATATTATTCTATTTTTATTTTCTATTATTTTATATTATTTTTAATATTATTAAACTTAGTTATATGATATGATTATGATATGATGTGATATTATATTATATTATATTGTATTCTATGTTATTATATAATATATTATATTGTATTATTTTTTATATTATTTTATAAAATGTTATATTATTGTAGAGATGTAGCGCCTAGTACAGTCATGTCTATTCAGTGCTATGGCATGCATGTTGTATATATGCCGTAGCCCCTTTTACAGATTTCAGAAAGATTGAACGACTCTGAGCCCAATAGAGGAAAAGGGATCAGCACGCTGTGTTGGTGCTTACCCACTGAAATATTATCTTTGCATGGTAGCGGGGCCCTTGGGCTCTGACTCTGGGGAATCAGACTTTTGGGTGAACCATCGGATCAAGGACAGGCAAGTGCTGACTCAGCAGAGCCTAGTGCCTTAGACCGGACTTGGGTAAGGCTGGTGCAGAGGATTCTCAACTTGAGACACCTGCAAAGGGTATTTGCCAACGTTGGGCAGTAACAAAAAACTATCCAAGGACACTGTTGGATAGGACGTCAAGAACCTTCCCCAATCAGCAATGAGTGGGCCAGGAAGTCCAAGTGGAAGCCCAGTTGGGGCAACAGGGGCTGGACAAGCAGAACAAGTCTTTGCACAGTTGCTGCTGCAGTTGCAGCAAGGGCAAGCGCAGATTGCCAGAGAGACGAGAGAAGGTCTACAGAAGCTGGCAGAAGGATTCCAGAAATCTTCATCTCGACCAGGGATTGTTGATGTGAAAGGGATTGGAAAGCCCGATAACCTCATAGGTAGTCATGAGGAAGTTCAGAAACAATGGAAGCCCTGGAGTTACAAATTCGAAACGTGGTTCTGCAGCCAATGGCCTACAGGTCAGCAAGCTTCAGATCAAGCCAGAGGGAAGGGTGATGATCCTGTTACTGCTGTGGATCTCTTGAACAGCACATTGCAGGATGTTGATGCAATCGATGCTCATCTTCATGTAGCCTTGGTTTCTTTGACACAAGGGATAGCCTATGACGTTGTCTACAGCTCGAGGGAAAAGTGTGGGCTTGATGCATGGAGAAGATTGTGTGTTACTTATGGGCCTCAGAACAATCGAACAAACATCAGACTGTCGAGAAGGATTCTTAGTCCAGCAAGAGCTACTATGTCAACTATGAGGAGTAGCCTAGATCGTTGTGAATCTGAAGTTGTGGAGTATGAATCAAGAGGACAGGCAAAACCTTCAGATGAGACTCTTCGAGCAGTTCTGTTGGCTATGGTACCAGAAAATCTTGAAGAACATCTTGAACTCAACATCCAGCGGTTTGACACCTACCCCAAGATGCGTAGTGAAGTGATTTCCTTCCTGGAACAAAAGGCTTCTAAGTCAATGGTTGATGATGGTGGTGCCGCTCCTATGGATTTGGACTATGTTCAAGGCAAAGGCAAAGGTAAGAGCACCAAGACATGTTATACATGTGGAAAGGTAGGTCATGTTTCTAAAGACTGTTGGCATGGCAAGTCAAAGGGTACTTCATCTTCATCCACTAGCAAGGGCTCAAGCTCAAAAGGCTCATCCACCGGTAAGGGAACCAAAGGTTCAAAGGGATCTCCAAAGGGGAAAGGCAAATCGTCCAAAGGAAAAGGTAAAAGCAAGATGGGATCCAAGTCTGGAAAGCAGTACGCAGTTGAGAGCCAAGAGGAAACTCAACAGTGGTCTGAAGAGCCTGAAGCAGAAGGCCAGGAGACTTGGAATGAAGAAGCGTGGCGAAACCAAGATGGCCAATGGGATGAACAAACTGGTGAGCAAGGTGCCATCTGTGTTGCCAGTGCTGATTCAGCACAGCAAGCACCCAGACAGAGGCCACTCACCAAGTATGAGAACGCGTTGGAAGGAGAGCAGAAGGAGTTCATTAAGGGAAAGATTTGGAAGCGCCCTGAGGTGTTCTGGAATATGCCCTTCAGGTTGGTATGCAACCAAAGCTGCTACGAGTTCAGGTTCTACTGTGGATACCAGCGCTGCAAACACAAAGGTTTCAACACCCCATCTCAATTCAATCAACATCTTCGGTCAAAGGTTGGCACTCATGGGCATCCAGACCAAGAACAAATCGATGCTTGGGAGAAGGACCCCTACGTGGTGCCAGAAGGACGCAGGCCATATGGACTTTGGGATCCAGTGACTGGCAACTTGGTGAATGCTGAGGTACAAGAGGTTGATTCTGAACCTTTGAGGGTAGCCATCGAGAGGAGCAAGGAGAGAATGAGGTTGGAGCTCTCTCCAAAGAAGCCACCTATTCAAGAAGCTACTGACGTCAAGAAGAAGGAGACAGCGTTGTTGAAAGCAAAGCCCAAGGGCAAGCCAGAGAAGTTTGGAATGAAGCATGTGGAGGATGTTGACGACTCACCTGAATACACCGTTGATTCAGAAGACATTGAAGAAGGTGAATCTGAAGCTTATGAAGAGAAAGATGAAGAGGTGAAGGTTCCTGAGGAAAACCCCGAGGAGACTGCAGAGGACTTGAAGGCTTTGAGAGAGGAGAAGGGTCAAGACCTTGCAAAGAAAGACGTCAAAGCTTTGGAGAAGAAAAAGCGTGAGGAGAAAGAGTCATTGCAGAAGAAACCTGTTGGATTCACACCTGGTGCTGTGGCAAAATTCACTAAGGCCTTGATCATGCAGAAACTTGAAGAGGTCAAGTCCATTGAAGGAACCTTGGTACTTCTGGATCGTGACCACCCAGCACGCAAAGCTTTGGAGGAGACCATCACCCAGAAGAAGGAGGAGATGAAGAAGATCCAAGCTGAAAGACAGAAGGCACGTGGTCAGAAGCACTCTGTCAGGCAGGAGATGGACAAGAAAGAAGCTGGTCCTAGAGTTGCCTACATCAAGGAGAGGCAGAGGAAAAGAGCTGCTGAGCACAGGAAGTCTGGTTTCAAGGCACGAGCTATTGCCAATGTGGCAAGGCAAGAGGAGGCTGAAAGACGCTTCAACCAATTGGACTCTGGGAGAAAGGAGAAGACATTTCCTTTGGCAGAAAGGGAGTTGTCGAAAGAAGTCCAAGCTGTGCCTTTGAGCAAGAAGGAGAAGACCTTCCTTAAGGACGATCAGGATGAAGAGTATCTGGAAGTCAAACGCAGGAGTATGGAACTCCCACCTAGTGAGAAGAGAAGGTTGGAAGAGAAGAAGGCCAAGTTCAAGGAGGACAAGGCTTCAAAGAAGAGCAAGACTCAGCAGAAGAGGAAAGAAGATCAGCTTCTCAAGGAACTCAAGGAGGAAAGCGCCAAGAAGAGGAAGAAGAAGAAGAAGAAGCAGAAGAAGAAGAAGACGAAGAAGAAGAAGAAGAAGAAGAAGCAAGAGGAGGAAAAAGAAGCGCCCTTTGTCAACCCTGAGGATGAAGAGGACGCAGAGGTTCAAGCCTTGTTGGCTGAAGTTGGAAAGCCACCAGAACAAGCATCTGGTAGTGCTGGTTCAGCACACCAAGATCGCAAGTCAAAGGCTGACACTTCCAAGTACTATGGTGGATCATCAAAGAGTTGGTCCTGCAAGTGGAAAGGCAGTTGGGACAAGCAGTCCTATTGGAAGCACGATCAATGGGAGAACTACTACAGTTCTGGTCGTGGCTCTGAGCAGCCTAAATCTCCAGAGAAAGGTCCAAAGAAGATAACTTGGAAGAATCTCCAAAGAGGCCCAAGATCGACTTTCGTGATCGAAGAGTTGCAGGGCCATTGAGGATTGCCAAAGGACGCATGGGACCTCCATCTTCTGAAGAAAGCCAAGGAGGTGATGATGCTGAACTAGAAGGTCTTGAACCCACTGATGATGAGCTGAAAGCAGAGGCGCCCAATGAGGAGGACGATGAGATGAATCCTGAAGAAGGTGAATGAGGTCAAAGGGGAGAGTTGCTAAGCTTTGGTCCCCCCAACAACTTGCCACCAAGACGTGATGGACCAGAAGGAAACAATTGGCGCCGTGTGGATTTCATCGTGGATAGTGGTGCTTCAGACAACACCCTTCCCGTGGGTGTGCTTCCAGGAATTCCAATGAAGCCACCTCAAGGCTTCAAAGACTTTGCACTTGCTGATGGACGTATCATCCCAAACTTGGGACAGAAGGTTGTTCAAATGGCATTTCAATGTGGACTGGTACTGGCTGGAACGTTTTCAGTGGTGGACAGCGCAAAGCCACTACTCAGTGTGGGCAAGATGACAAACTTGGGACACACTGTGAAGATGACACCAGATGGTGGCCAGATTGTCTTGAAGAATGGCAAGTCTATCAAGATCTGCTTCAGGAACGGTGTATGGAAGATTCCAACTTGGATTTGGTGTCCAGGGGATGGAAAGGAGGATGCAAGTTTTCAAAGGCAGGGAAGCGCTAGCTGAAGAAGATGCTGGAACTTCAGCCAAGCCGTTGCCAATTCCAGCAAGGCCCACACCAGAGATGGTAAAGGCCCATGAGGTTTGCCATGTACCATTTAGGTCATGGTGCAGTCACTGTGTCAGAGGACGTGGTAAATCGTTCTCCCACAAAGCAGTTGACCACAGTCAGGATGATGAAGGTCGTCCTGTTGTATCACGACTGGAGAACTACTGGCTGATGCTGTTGGTGGACAAAAGATGCCAGTTTTGGTTGTGCGTGACCGTTTCACCAAAGCAATCTTTTCACATTTGGTTCCTGCCAAAGGCACAGAACACTACTACCCTGAAGTGGCGCTCTTGAGGGACATCAAATTTCTTGGTTACACTTCTTTGACCTTGAAATCAGATCAAGAGCCATCTATCATCGCCTTGGCCACTGCAGTCAAGAACACTTTGTCATCTCAAGGAATTTTCAGTGCAGTTGGAGAACAGCCCAAAAGGAGATAGCCATGGTATGTCAAACGGTGAAGCTGAATCGTCTGTGGGTATTACGCAAGGTTTAGCCAGACTTCTCAAGGACCATGTTGACCACAAGGTTGGACAACAGTTGGACCCAAGATCACCTATCTTGGGATGGTTGATGGTTGATTGAGTATGTTGGCACGTTGTACACTTTGTTCTCATTTGATGAAAAAGCTTGAGATGGTTTGGCAGCGTTTAGACGCATCAAGGGTCGTGATTGGACAGTTGCACTTCCAGCTTTTGGTGAGTGTGTGGACTTTCGAGTCAAGACAAACCACAAGTTGGAACCTCGTTGGGAATCTGGAATTTTTCTTGGAGTACGACTTCACACTACTGAGAAGATCTTTGGAACCCCCAAAGGAGTTGTTGTTGTACAATCAGTGAGACGCAAACCGGATGATCAACAGTGGAATTTGCAGCTACTTCAATCAGTTACTGGCCCATGGCCCCCAATCCAGCAAACAGAAAGAGCCAAGAGAGGCACTGGAGCTTCCAGTGCCAGTGTCCATTGAGCCAGAACAGCCAGAGGTAGAAGTCAAACAAGTTGAAACCAGTGAGTTGAAACCTCACTTCAGACGTGTTTACCTTCGACAAGATGATTTTGACAAGTTTGGTTATAGTGCTGGTTGCAAAGCTTGTATTCTTATACGCTCTGTGTTGGATTGACAAGGAGTCAATCATGCAGAGGATTGTCGTTTGAGGATCGTTCAAAGGTTGCAAGAGACTGAGTATGGACGCAAGAGAATTGAGATTGCAGCTAGAAGAGAAGAGGATGCCAAACAAGATGCTTCAAAGAGACAAGGATTGGCTATCCAAGATGTTGAGCGAGCATCTGGACCTTCAAGTGGGTCAGGAATCAAAAGACCTGCAGAGGATCCACCACAGGATCCTAGGCTCGAAACCCCTGAGCAGCCGGGAGGCAGTGTTGGTTCAACACGCCAACCTGGAACAAAGAGGGATGTAGAGCAAGCTGGTTTGAGCTCTGATCCAATGGAAGACGTTGAAACTTCCCTTACAAACATTTTACTTTCTCAAAGGCAAGGTTTTCTAGGAGCTGCTTATGCACAAGTTGAACAGTCACCTGAAACACTACCTGTTTGTGAAGAACACTTTGAGATTGACCCAGAGGAGCCACTCTACTGGGACAACGTTTCGGGAAAGCCGTTAGACAGCGCAAAGGTCCAGGAGGCACGTCGAGAAGAATGCCAAGTGATTGATGCCATGGGCGTTTGGGAGGTCATCGACAGACCTGCCAATGAGCGAGTCATTTCCACACGTTGGGTGGACGTGAACAAAGGGGATAAAACACATCCCAACAATCGTTCACGATTCGTGGCAAGAGAACTGAAGCAGAAGGGAGACACACCTTCGCACTGGAGTGATTTCTTTGCTTCTATGCCGCCTATCACAGCCCTACGTGCATTGTTTACTTTGGCCGTAACCATGAGGGTACCTAACCTTGAAGGTAAGTTAACCCAAATGGATCCAACTACGTGCTTGATTTTCATCGATGTCAAGAAAGCTCATTTCTGGAGCCCTGCTCGCAGAAGATTGTTGGCTGAACTCCCAAGTGGAATGGGATATCCACCTGGCAAAGTGGGTTTGTTGTGGAAATCTCTTTGGGGAACCCGCGACGCTCCAGCCAACTGGGAGGCAGCAATCAAAGCAGTGATGACGCTAATTGGTTTTCAGCAAGCCAAAAGCAACTCATGTTTGTACTACCACGCCGAAAAGCAAATTCGCATCGAGGTGCACGGTGGCGATTTCACCGGAGTAGGGCCGAAAGCAGAGTTAGAATGGTTTGCCGCTGAACTTCGCAAACACTGGACGGTCGATGTTCGAGGTATTTTGGGACCCCCATCTATGAAGGATGTGGATCACTCAATTGTTATCTTGAATCGTTTGGTGACGTGGACAGACAAGGGCATTGAAATGGAAGCAGATCCGAGACATGTGGACCTACTTCTTCAAGAAGTTGGTTGTGAAGGATCGAAGGTAACAACGCCTTTGATCAAAGAGAGGATCCCGAAGAGGCCTTGACTTCTGAGGAGTTGGACGAAGAGACTTCAGCGATGTATCGTTCTGCAAGCATGACGTTGGCGTATCTTTCACAAGATCGACCTGATCTGTTGGTTCTTGAAAAGGAACTAGCGAAAGGTTTGAAGCGACCGACTCAGGCACACTTGCAGATGTTGAAACGTGGAGTTCGTTATCTTCGTTCGCACCCGAGGATGATACACCTGTTTCAGAATCAGAAGCAACTTACTACACTGGAACTTTGGGTCGACGCTGACCACGCGGGGTGTATTAGGTCAAGAAAGTCAATGACAGGCACAGTCCTACAGTTAGGCCGCTGCACAATCCGGACAACCTGCAAATCACAGGCCGTGATAGCATTGAGCTCCGGAGAGGCCGAGTATTACGGACTTGTGTCCGGACTTTGCCAAGCACTTGGAGAACAGTCTCAGCTCCGTGGGGAGTGCATGTTCCCATCATCGGATATATGGATGCCACGACGGGACTTTCAATTGGAAGCCGTCATGGATTGGGAAAGGTCAAGCACATAGACACAGTATTTCTATGGGCACAAGATGCCATCTTGACTGGAAAGGCAAAGTTGTACAAGAAGAGCACTCAAGAAATGCTCGCAGACCTGTTTACCAAACCGTTGGATTCAGGCCGAATGAAAATGCTCTTAGAGAAACTCAACTTTCACTTTTGCGGAGGAAGAAGACGTCATTTAGCACTTGACGCATGAAAAGCAAATGGGGCTGAGCCAGGCTAGGGTAGAAAGACTTAGACGTGTACAGCCGCAGCAAATTCTCCCTCGCACTCTGGTGAATCAGAGGCACTCCTTCGGGAGGCATGTAGAGATGTAGCGCCTAGTACAGTCATGTCTATTCAGTGCTATGGCATGCATGTTGTATATATGCCGTAGCCCCTTTTACAGATTTCAGAAGGATTGAACGACTCTAAGCCCAATAGAGGAAAAGGGATCAGCACCCTGTGTTGGTGCTTACCCACTGGAATACTATCTTTGCAATTATATTACAATACAACATGTATAAACAGTAACACTATGTACTTTTAGATGCTGTTTTCAACAAGCGTCCTGTGGTGCAACCTTTTATTCCAGAGATGGCTGCGGCCCGCAATTTGAGGTGCAGCTTCTTCCTTTCTTGGCTGTGAAGAATACGCAACTTGATACTGCAGTGAAAACGAAGACATGTTTCCTCCACTTCCACCAGGACTAGACCGACCCATGACTTTCTTTTTCACTATCTCTTCCCTTGGCCTGACTTCGCCTTTGGTCATCTCGGTCGGGTTTGGCCGGACATGACTGAACAGCTGAATCTGGTTGAAACCTCCACAGTTCCAACTCTTTCGTGTGCCCAGGTTCCTCAATGTTCCGGAGGAGAATATGTCCAGCGATGAAGAGTTTTACGCACCTTTCGAAAGGTACAGCACTTCCGCACCTGCGGTCCTTCAGGACAGCCATAGTTTTCGGTGCTGCAAAGATCTCTTGGAAATGCCTGCCTACCATGCTGCACTATGCTGCACTAACCTATCCGTAACTAGCCTCTCTCTGTCCCTCCAAGACAGGAGCCGGCATACGTACGGATCGATGGTGTCACTGATCCTTGGATCAACGAGTGAGCAACGCACTTCGATTCATAAATCAGTTTATTCTGAATTGGATGCATTTTTGAATATCGATGCATGTCATTTTTGCAGGGCCAAGCCCCACTGAAACATCTGCAACTGAGTCATGCTGTCATGGTTGGTTTTCAGAATGGTTTGTAGCCGGTGAGCCAATTACTTGCAAAGAGCAATCTCTTGCAATTGCTATCAGATTTCACAAGTATATGCTTACAGAAACCTGACTCCGTCTAAGGAAGAAGGACCTCCAAGGAGCTTGCTTTGTGCCGCCAGAATTTATCCAAGATGGCCCGGGGTTGCCGGACTTTGCACATCGCACCTTTCGCATCCGAAATCACTTTCAGCAGGATGGGAGTTGCCCAAGGACAGTCCTCCAAGGTGGGCTTCCTGCGAGAAACCACACAGTGCAGCACGTTTTTTGTAGCTGACAGGAAGTCGAAGTGCAGAAGAACCCGCCACTTGGATCTGCTTTCTCCACTGCCATTGCTGCCATTGCGGCACATGCATATAGCAGAATGTTGAAGGCTCCCTTGGGTTTGTTTGTGCAGCTGTCAATGAAGAAATTAGTGGAATGGTGAAAAGGACCATTATTGCCAGTTGTTGCTGATCATTCATGATCATGGGTGATGGATGGTCATTGCATATGAAGTCAAGCCCAAGGTCGTGTTTGGATGACCTAGAGCCACGACCTGGGGTTCAGCCAATGAAGAGTAAGGGCAGCGCAGGGCATCCCGACACTTGCAAGGCGGGGCAACGATGATGTGCTGGAGAAAGGTCAACTTAGCATCCACTATAGCAGCTACCTGTAGCATGAACAAAATCCACAAATCAGATAATTATAGCCATCATAGCATTATAGCATTAGTTTCTGTGGAACTGCTCTTACATTTTTGTTTCGACTAAATTGGACAGGGGACTGATACGTTTCTATGACACTGTGCGCCAGGAGTGTACCTTCTACTTCTTCAGTACGACTGGATGCATAAAAGGTGCAGATTGCCTCTTCTGTCACGAATTCCACCCAAGGACTGCTAGATGTTACATTTGCTTCGGTTTCATGGTTTCCATGTGTTTCCGCTGGCTGTTAGCATGTGGAATCCACAGTAGCTCCTTAGGCTCTAAGGCATTCTGGTGCTCGGGCGCACTTTTTTTTTTGCCAGGAAAAACGGCAAGAAGAATCGTTGCATCATGCGCGCTCTGCAAACTCGCCACATGGCTAAATTCTAAAACGCACCACACCAAAGGATCCAAAGGCACAGCTGTGGTACAGCACCTCCGCACCTTCAGAATTAAAAGCGCACAGCTGGTGAGACTATGTGATCTATGTGGCTTCTTGAAATGTTCAAGTGACTCGAGTTTACTCAAGTGACTCAAGTTCCGAATCACACCCTTCACGTCCCTGTGAGGTAAATCTCACGACGATGGTAAGGAAGGCAAGGCAGTTTTGAAAGACGTCTGCAAGGCGGACCACCCTGGGATGATTGAAACATTTTGTGGAAACACGCGTTGGGATACATCGGGTAGAGGTAAATTGTCTTAAGTACCCTTAGGCTCCTCTTAGGTTATATAATAACCAAGCTATTTGCGAGGCTATCATCAAAATAAGAACAAAGCATTTTTAGGTGATTCTTATTTCAGACTTTTTTTTAAGCTTAGGTTATTATACGGTAACCTTTCGACAGGCTATTTTATAAGATGTTGACAAAGATGTTGACATTTGAAACTTTCAATCGTTATCTTGCTGATCATCTAGAAACTTAAATGTAAAACATCATAGTATTTAACTGGGTTTGCTTGCCACATGTTGTGTGTTTTGCAAGTCTCATGCACAAATTTACTTTATATGTTGGTGTTTTAATGTCCCTTTCCATTTGTTGTGTCATGCAAATAGATGTCCAGACATGTTGTGAATAACACATTTGGTTTCAACTGTCTTGTCTTCTTGGTTTTCGTGTCCAACTGTTTATGTCCATGTTATGCTTTTCAATTTATTTGACAAAGGATGAAATGCTGATGGTGATATTTGTAGTGTTTCCAAATGTCAATTTTCATATTAGTTTCCGTCTCCTTTCCATTTCTATGTCTTGAATTTCATGTTCATTTTTGTTTCCCATTCCCAATGTCCAATGATTTCTATTTTCTTCAATCGTTCTTTCCAGTTCCACGTCCATTTCCATGCCCATTTCCATTTCCAACTGTTCTTTCCATGTCCATTTCCAATTCCCAATTTCCAATGATTTCGATTTTCGGGAAACGATCTTTCCATTTCCATGTCCATGTCCATGAGCATTTGCCAATGTCCAATGATGTCTATTTTCTGAGTTTGTTCATCTTTGTCCATGTCCATTTCCATTTCCCAATGTCGAATGAAATTCTATTACCTTAATTCGTTCTTTCCATTTCCATGGCCATTTCAATTTCCCAATGTCTTTTTATAACCTTAATTTGTTGACGCAGCCCTGACAATACGATTCGCAAAAAACACGCAACACGACACGTCTAAAGTGCTGCGCCTGCCACGCAAAATGACGATGGACACGTCCACAGTGCTGCGCCTGCCGCGAAAACTGCAACGCATCTTCTGAAAACATCGCAAAAGTATTGCACCTGCGACTCAAAACGACTTTCGACACGTGACAAAACACGCCTGAATGTCACGAAGTGCCACGCCTGCCACGCGAAACGAAGCAACGCGACATGTGCAACCTCCAAGAGCGACCTCTTTTGCAGAACTTACCATAGGCACGGCCATAGTGACCTGGCGCGGACGGTTGCGAACGGTTGCGAACGGTTGCGAACATAAACGCGACGTCGAGTGAACGCACCCTCAACCCCCAGAGTGAAACGGGAACCCTTGCTACGCATTTGGGAAAAAGATAAAACATATATTCGTCAAACAAGAACAACATTTTTTAAATCGTTACAATAACAACAACAACACCACCACCACCACCACCAACAACAACCAACAACAACAACAACAACAACAACAACCACAACAGCAACAACAACAACCACAACCACAACCACAACCACCACAACCACAACCACAACCACAACAACAACAGCAGCAACAACAACAACCACCACCAAAAATAGATAAACACATAGCCTCTTTCTAGGTTATCATCTCCAAGGTTAAAATAGCCGAAAACAGCTTTTTAAGACTATAATAGGCTTAGGGTCTATTTTAGATTCTAGATCCTCTTAGTTAATAACCTAAGAGGAGCCTAGCCAAATAACAACAAATTGGACATGTGTTGAATGAGATAGCAATGAGTACTGACTGATTACTGCTACGATTAAATGAAAATTTCTCCAAAAAACACTAGGGGAGGGATGTTTATGATGGCTGATGGGCAGCTTGTGGAAGCCTGATGCCGACGAATTTTCTACCAGTATGTGCCCAGCTATGCGGAAAAGTCTCGATTTGCCAGTCCATCAGAGTTTCGTTGGCGCAAGGCAAAATTACAGGAGAAGACGGAAGTGAAAGCAGAAGAATCCAAAGGCAGGTACTGGAAAGTACATCCGTTTGGTAGGGGGTTGTGTTTTGGAAACGGCCTCCGGCGACTTTCACGGCGCTCCGCACAGGTGCTGCAGTGGAAGTGCAGCAACAACTCTCGGTCGGGGGCGATGGCATGCTCCGGGTGACCTACAGTTCCGAGGAGGTGTTCCTGAAAAGTCTCACCGGTGCTGAGTGGTATAGAACAATGATCATCTCTGAGATCTGTGACTTTCAGCAATAAAGTTTCAGGGTCATAGTGACTTTACTTCATGTCATCATGGTACCTGTGTGGGTTGTGCGTATGGCGTATGGGACAGAAATGGAAAGAGGCTGTGGTGACATGGTGCTGTGACAGGACAGCGAAGCTGACAGCAGCTTGGCTGGTCTCGTAGGATGATCGCTGGGACAGATCGGAGAACTGGACCAAACATATCTAAACAGTGTGAAACTTGCATGATTACCATGACTCATTCAGAACTCATTCACGACCTATTCCCATTGATTGCTCATGATTTCTAGGAAGATCATCTCAAAACGGTATGATTTTCCTTTCTAGAGAGATTCCTAGTTTGAATGATATGTAAGAAACCAGCTTCGTTCCTTATCATGTAGGATACTAAAAAATGACAGTTTGATGTGTGGCTTCTAGAGACATGACCATCCGAGGTGCTCCCGTTGCGTTGACGCTGATTGCAGGAGTTCGAACTTGCCTCCGCATCTTGGACGCCCCCCAAAAAATGGGTGACGATGGACTTTGAGGGCTGCTCCATTTTCAGACACACCCATTTGTAATATACCGTGTATATATATATATATACATATATATATATGTATCTATTGTACCTTTGTACATTCGTATAGGTATAGATATAAAATACTTGTATACACAGACAGTCACATCCGTACTCTGACATGTTGTTTTTTAGATTTGGTGCTGAGGCCCGAAGGTGATCTATGCGAGTCCGGAAGGGCAACGCTGCCTTGAACCAACACTCGCTTTTGTCGTGCAACCCGCTCTCCCTTCAGGCCCCTTCAGAAGAACTTCAAGTGGATCAAAAGTTGTCTAGTTGTTGTTACTATATTAAATGGTTTATAATGGAAATTCCGATTAACAAGTATGATTTAGGGTGCCCCCATTTCAGGAAACCTCCATACAGTAGACGGACCAAATATTCAAACCCTGCAACGCACTGTGTTGAACCCCCGCACCCCCAAATCTCAATGTTTCAGCGCGCGTGTAACCAAGAGTGATGTTAGGGGATTGATTTCTTTCGCCCATTGGGGCTAGTGCACTTCAGGTTACATTAACATTGAACTTCGGGGGGTTGTAACGGATAGAAGGGGTTTGAATATTTCGTCCATCTACGGTACCTGCCGCACACCCCAGTTGGTACTGTCTCGCTCTCTGATGTTTTCACATCTTTTGGTCTCCAAACTCTGTTGTGGAAACATTACTTTGCATGCTGCTGCTTATTCCAAACTGCGCAAAACATTGCCTGTTCACAAGTAAATGCCTCCTGTCTGTCTCCTGTCCCATGTTTTTTTCTATTCCCTAATTCGCAACTTATTCCAAGCTGCACAAAACATTGTGTTTCCACTGGTAAGTGCAACCTTTGCGCTTCCCGTCCCATTTTTCTATTCCCTAATTCGCAACTTATTTCGAACTGCAAAAAAAAGGATTTTCACAGGTAAATGCTGCATGTGTCTCTCGTCCCTTTTCTTCCCATTCCTTAAGTCGCAACTTATTCCAAAATGCGCAAAACAGTGTGTTGTCAGAGGTAGACGCTGCATGTCTCTCTCGTCCCATTTTTTCCTATTCCCTAATTCACGACTAATTCGTTTGACGTGGCCGTGCCAATGGACTTTGCAACTTGAACAGCATGAGACGGCTCCTAATTAAACAAATACTTTTCTCTTAACAAGGAAGCAGCACGTCACAAATGACATAATCCATTGGCAGGGCCACGTCAAACGAATGAGTCATGAATTGGGGAATAGGAATAGGCTGTGAATTCGGGAATAGGAACAAATGGGACGAGAGGCACATGCAGCATTTACCTGTGAAAACACATTTTTCCCGAGAGCGCCTGCGAAGGGTTCTTCGTAAAAAAGCAGCCGTTGTAATACATCTTCACACCCTCACATCTGCTGATCTACATCCTCACACCTTCACATCTGCTGATCTACATCTTCACACCCTCACATTTGCTGATCTACATCTTCACACCCTCACATCTGCTGATCTACATCTTCACACCTTCACATCTGCTGATCTACATCTTCACACCCTCACATCTGCAGATCTACATCTTCACACCTTCACATCTGCTGATCTACATCTTCACACCTTCACATCTGCTGATCTACGTCTTCACACCTTCACATCTGCAGATCTACATCTTCACACCTTCACATCTGCTGATCTACATCTTCACACCTTCACATCTGCAGATCTACATCTTCACACCTTCACATCTGCAGATCTACCTCCTCGCACCTTCACATCTGCGGATCTTCTCTCGCTCTTCTTTCTATCTCTCTCTTAAGGTGGGGGCGGCGCCGCCGGAGCGCCACGAAACGCAACCCTTTTGCACGAAATGGACGTTGGACGTCAAAAACTGAGGTAAAATTGCGATTTTAGTTAGTCCGCCGCAACCCTTTCGCACGAAATGGATGTTGGACGTCAAAAAAACCTGGGTAAAATTGCGATTTTGAGGTATCCCTCGCAACCCTTTCGCACGAAATGGACGTTGGACGTCAAAAACTGAGTTAAAAGTTCGATTTTAGTTAGTTCGCTGCAACCCTTTCGCACGAAATGGACGTTGGACGTCAAAAACCTGGGTAAAATTGCGATTTTGAGGTGTCAATCGCAACCATTACACGCGAAATGGGCGTTGGACGTCAAAAACTGAGGTAAAAATGCGATTTTGAGGTATCCCTCACAACCCTTTCGCACGAAATGGACGTTGGACGTCAAAAACTGAGGTAACATTGCGATTTCACGGGTCCGGTCTCTGTGTGTCGTAAAAGTGTTTGTGTGTAAAAGCTTCTGTGTGTGAAAGCTTCTGTGTGTAAAAGCCTCTGTGCGTGAAAAGTGTTTGTGTGTAAAAGCGTCTGTGTGTAAAAGCGTCTGTGTGTAAAAGCGTCTGTGTGTAAAAGCGTCTGTGTGTGAAAGTTTCTGTGTGTAAAAGCAACTGTGTGTGAAAGTGTTTGTGTGTAAATGCGTCTGTGTGTAAAAGCCTCTGTGTGTAAAAGCCTCTGTGTGTAAAAGCGTCTGTGTGTAAAAGCGTCTGTGTGTAAAAGCGTCTGTGTGTAAAAGCGTCTGTGTGTAAAAGCTTCTGTGTAAAAGCGTCTGTGTGTAAAAGGGTCTGTGTGTAAAAGCGTCTGTGTGTAAAAGCTTCTGTGTGTGAAAGTGTTTGTGTAAAAGCGTCTGTGTGTAAAAGCGTCTGTGTGTAAAAGCTTCTTTGTAAAAGCGTCTGTGTGTAAAAGGGTCTGTGTGTAAAAGCGTCTGTGTGTAAACGCTTCTGTGTGTGAAAGTGTTTGTGTAAAAGCGTCTGTGTGTAAAAGCGTCTGTGTGTAAAAGCGTCTGTGTGTAAAAGCCTCTGTGTGTGAAAGCCTCTGTGTGTGAAAGTGTGTGTGTGTAAAAGCCTATGTGTGTAAAAGGGTCTGTGTGTAAAAGCGTATGTGTGTAAAAGGGTCTGTGTGTAAAAGCATCTGTGTGTAAAAGCGTCTGTGTGTAAAAGCGTCTGTGTGTAAAAGCTTCTGTGTATAAAAGCCTCTGTGTGTAAAGGAGTCTGTGTGTAAAAGCATCTGCGTGTAAAAGCGTCTGTGTGTAAAAGTGTCTGTGTGTAAAAGCGTCTGTGTGTAAAAGGGTCTGTGTGTAAAAGCGTCTGTGTGTAAAAGCGTCTGTGTGTAAAAGCCTCTGTGTGTAAAAGCTTCTGTGTGTAAAAGCGTCTGTGTGCGAAAGTGTGTGTGTGTGACACATCTGTACAGATGTAAAACTTCAGGTCTCTATTTTTGTTTTGTAATCGATGTAAAGAGTGTCGGGCTTCAATCTCTTTCAGCAGGGTGCCAGGAACCCATCACTGTCTGTCCTGGCCAACGAAGACCAGACAGTATGGGGGTGAAAACGTACCTGCAATTTTCTTCGTGATGGGACGTGGCTACCCCGAGAACCACCATGCCGATTCCAAACAACTTTTTTTACATGGTTTTACATGGTTGACGCTACATGATTTTCGATGACGATTTATTTGCTGGTTTTGGAGTCTGGTTTGGGCTACGTTGGATATTTTCGGAAGACCATCATTGTATTCATGAAGTACTACCACGAGATCTACTTTAGACTTTAGGCCTAATTGTCCAGGCTGGTTGCGCGTTACAGGACTCAGTTCCTGATGGATCTCTCTTCAAAGATCCAATTTTGTCTAGTGTGTGTAAAAGAAAAGCGTGTGTGTGTAAAAGCATCTGTGGGTAAAAGTGTCTGTGTGTAAAAGTGTCTGTGTGTAAAAGCGTCTGTGTGTAAAAGCCTCTGTGTGTAAAAGCCTCTGTGTGTAAAAGCGTCTGTGTGTAAAAGCCTCTGTGTGTGAAAGTGTGTGTGTGTGTAAAAGCATCTGCGTGTAAAAGCGTCTGTGTGTCAAAGTGTCTGTGTGTAAAAGCCTATGTGTGTAAAAGGGTCTGTGTGTAAAAGCGTATTTGTGTAAAAGCGTCTGTGTGTAAAAGGGTCTGTGTGTAAAAGCATCTGTGTGTAAAAGCGTCTGTGTGTAAAGGAGTCTGTGTGTAAAAGCTTCTGTGTGTAAAAGCCTCTGTGTGTGAAAGTGTTTGTGTGTAAAAGCGTCTGTGTGTAAAAGCGTCTGTGTGTAAAAGCTTCTGCGTGTAAAAAGCGTCTGTGTGTAAAGGAGTCTGTGTGTAAAAGGAGTCTGTGTGTAAAAGCGTCTGTGTGTAAAAGCGTCTGTGTGTAAGCGCTTCTGCGTGTAAAAGTGTCTGGGTGTAAAAGTGTCTGTGTGTGAAAGTGTGTGTGTGGAACATCTGAAAAGATGTAAAACTTCTAACTTGCTTGATGATTTTGCAACGATCGTTTTCATGTTTCCCGTCAATTGCATTTTCGGTTTTCCACTTGATTTTCAAATAACAGCAGGGGGGTCATCCACGACCTTGACTGATGACCCAACGCAGAGGGTCAAGGTTCGTGCTGATATCACGGCTGATCACCGTGACGTACCTGCCAATTTTCTGTGATGGGAAGAGGCTCAACCCAAGAACCTCCATGTCGTCATTTTGCAATTTTCGCTGCACTGTTGTCGCAATCTGGAACTGAATTTGGTCAATTTTGAATGTTTGAGCTGCATCAGAACGAGTTGATTCATCTAGCAAGGACGTAGAAAGAGTTCCT